TATCTGTGCACATTCATGGGGTGGGGTGGGGATGGGGCCTCCAACTCTCTAATTCCTTGTATGACCATTTATGTGGGACCACTCTCTCTCAGCTGCCCCAAAGGAAAAATACGCTATTTCTCTTGTGTCTAAAATTTTCAGTTAGTGTATAGTACAAAATAAAGGATTTCATTAGGACATTTTCATACATGAATGTCACATACTCTGGTTATACTCACATCATCAGAATTAACCCTTTGCCCCTTCTGATCTCCCTTTCTAAAGATTTCTCTCTGTCTCTCTCTCTCTCTGTCTCTCTCTGTCTCTGTCTCTGTCTCTGTCTCTCTCTCTCTCTCTCTCTCTCTCTCTCTCTGTGTGTGTGTGTGTGTGTGTGTGTGTAGGTGTCCACCAAGGCCAGAAGAGAGTGTCTCAGGTCCACTGGCTAGAATTCCAAGTGGCTATGAGCTGCCCTATGTGGGTGCTGGGAACTACATTCTGGATCTCTGGAAGAGCAGCAAGGCTTCTCAACAGTTGATCCATCTCTCCAGCATCCAGTCCCGTTCTTAAAGGAAAGATTCTGATAAAATGTACGCCCTTGTATTGTTGTTGTTAATTATGGAAACCAGGACTGGCGCGATGGACGGAGCACAAGCCATGGAGAGCATATTAACCATAGTTTATTATAGTGAGACCGAAAGGGGGAGACAGACATGACAGAGAGGGAGGAAGATGAGAGAGAAGAGATGATGAGAGAGGATGGAAGACGAGAGAGTAAGAGAGAGACGAGAAAGTAAGAGAGACGAGAGAGTGAGAGAGGATGAGATAGAGAGAGGATGAGAGAGAGCTGAAGACTGGAGAGCATAAGTGGGCAGGGGTCTGTCCTTTAAAGGGGTCCTTTGCACCTGCGTGTAGACTGGTTCTCGTGGGAATCCTGGGCTGGCCAGAGAACTGCCTGAGTGAATCCTGCCAGGTAACAGGGCAGGCCAGTGTAATGCCTGAACCTTTCAGTTCCTTTTCAAATCACTGTGACAAGATACACGATGGAATCAACCTAAGGGAAAGGGAGGGTTTCTTCAGGCTCCTGGTTCCATGGTGGGAAAGGCTTGCCCCCCTCATGATGGTGATCTCTGCTGATGGGGGCCCCTTAGATCTCTGCTGATGGGAAAACTGTGTATTCTAGCTGGCACAGAAAGTGCATATAGCTTTCAAAGCCCAACTCCAAGGACCGGTTCCTGTTAGGTAGGCCACACAGCTGCGCAAAGGTTATACAGCCTCCCAAGACAGTACCATCATCAAGTGCCCCATACTAAGTCTTTCGGCTCAGTGCAGATTCCAACCACAACACCCCTCCAGACAGTGGCCCAACTCAGCTCCCAATGTGGCTTAACCCTTTCTTCCTAAGACCCCAAGTCGCAGGCAGGGTTTTAGGCAAAGCTGTCTAAAGACTTCTTGAGGAAGATGCTTCCCTTTAGGGTCCCTCAAATCATACCATGGAAAAGATTTTAACAGCACAATGTGGACTCAGGAAAGGACCATTAAGAATGATTAAGGGTAGAAACAAGATTGAGGGCAGATAACTGGGTCCCAGGGAGAACAGTTTCTTTAACCCTCAATTGCTTTTGCAATTTAAGATAAAAAGCAGTTACCACATCTCAGGGATTCTGTTGTGAAACTCTGTTTTGTTTTCTCTGATCTTGAGTGGACACTAAACACGTCTAGAGACCAGAGCAAAGGTCTTAGCTGATTTATTATTAAACACTGAATAGCTACATATTTTGTTAGATACCATAGTTACATAAAATGTGAACTTTAGTATCTCAAAGTACAAAAGCATTAAGACCGATCAAAGTAAATCTAATAAAAACAAGTGTTTATGGAGCTAGGGAGATGTCTCAATGGTTAAGACTACTTACTGTTCTTTTAGAAGATCTGGGTTCATTTCCCAGCACTCACATGGCAGCTTACAGACATCTGTAATCCAATACCAGGAGATCCAACACCATCATCTGATCTCCTGGGGCATCAGGCATGTGCTTGGTACACATACATGTATGCAAGCAAATACTCAAATGAATAAAGGAAAAATAAAATCTTAAAAAAACAAGTGTTTTCAAAACAGGACCCTGCAATTATAATAATCAAATCGAACTGTAAACATGCATAATTTGCAAGTCTTGTCAAGTGACTCTTTTTAAAAAATCATTATTTTAATTGTATGTATTTACTGGATATGGTGTAAATTTTGATACACATACTGTACCATGATCAAATTGGGGTCCAAGTGATTTGTTGATTAGAACCTGGGTCTTTTGTTCAAACCAGTGAAAACTGAGGTTTGAAGTAGTTATTTCCTACCTACCATGGCTGCATGAAACTATAACATTTTGGGAAATTTGGCTTAAACTTGAAAGATGTTGAAGGAAATTTGAAATGCAAGTGTAAGTTATACAAAAGAACCAAGAGCAAAACCCTGCTTCCCTTTGGGAAAAGACACTATGAACTCCAGAGCTCATTGTTCTTCACCATATTCTGTTTCTCCTTACCTAGGAAAAGAATTCTTTGTGGAATCTTCAAAATTAATTATAACGGCACAAAGCTACATGATACATAGAAGCTGGACTCTTCAATACTGGCAAAAGTAAATCCCCACCTAAGGCCTTTTTTGTTTGTTTGTTTGTTTTACATGTTCACTATTTCATATCTAAGTGTTTCAAGTTTTGATATTTTTCAGATTTCAGATTATGTGTATATGCATAAAGTGAGAAATCTTGGGTCTAGGAACTGAGTGTTAACATTTGTTTCATACCTGCTTCATAAACTGTGTGAAGGCAGTCTCATACAATTCTCTTTTTGACTGACATGTCTTATGATATCAGCTGTGGAATATTCCACTTGCAGCAAGCATCATATCACTGCTCCAAAAGTTTTGGGCTCTGGAGCATTTCAGATTTCTAAATCACTAATGCTTAATTTGTTCTTAATCATGTCATGGATTAGGTAGCACTTTGCAGACTGGGATTAAAGGCTCTGGAATAAGAATGCATAAGCTCAGATCCAAGCTCAACACTGTACTGGTTGTATGTGTAATTGTGGATAAGAGCTTGAACCTCATCATGCCCATCTGTAAAATGGGGGTAAAGGGAGTCATCAACCATTTTATCAAGTTTTGAGCTACAATAATGACCAGCACTGTAATATATGCCCATCGGTGTAATAATGGCACAAATATTATGGAGGTAACCCATCACTTCCTGATTGAATTTAAGGCCTACTCCACAGGAGGAAACACATGCCTGGCACTATAAATTTGACTAAGAACCCATGGGGGTGGAGCTAATAGGCCCCTGAAGTAAGCCTACTACTATTATTTTGCTAAAGGGGCACAGCCCTTTAAACTCATAGACTAGTGCAGGTCTCAGGTCTCCAGAGTTTCTCCAATGGATGGTGGTTAGCACAGAAACTCACAACTGGTCAAACTGCAGAAAGTGAGTATCGGAGAAGTACTCAGCCACAAGCAGGACTCCTGTGTCAGACCTTTCTCCCAGACAGAAGAGAGGGCAGGAAGACGGTCAGAGCCAGAGGACAGGGAGGACTGGATGGAAGCAATGTTCTGTGAACATGACAGGATCACAGTAACTCATGACTCACAGAAGCTGTGATGGCCGTCATAGGACCTGCACAGAATTAAGTCAGTCAGCATTCTAGAGTGTGGAGGAAGGGGTTCTCTGCTCCCCACCCCTGAGGCACCACTGACAGCTGAGAGGAAGACTCAGCCCTCTTTGTAAGGACGAGGCCTCTGGTAGGCTGACGATGCTTCGTGGGATGCTTCCACACACAGGAGTGTATGGACAGCATTAATTCATGGGATGCTTCCACACACAGGAGTGAGTGTATGGACAGCATTAATTCATGGGATGATCTGTTCCACACACAGGAGTGAGTGTATGGACAGCATTAATTCATGGGATGCTTCCACACACAGGAGTGTATGGAGGCATTAATTGGACTTGATGGCTTACAAAAACCAGTACTAATAAAGAGGACATGAAGTTTTGAGGTTAGGGATTAGAGGTGGGTTTTGGAGGAGTTAGGAAGAGGAATAAGGGGTTACTATGATCAAAACATATTACATGGAATTCTTAAGAATTTATAAAATATTTCTTAAAAAGTGCATAAAAATAAAAAATCAAGCCTGTGGTTGAAGCAGACAGATTGCTTTCCAGCATGTTCTCTTACACTTTTCAATAGCAGTAGAAATTAGCTATACAAATAGCTGGCCAGCTAAAGACTACACTTGTAGTTCTTCTCCCAAATAGGAGCTACACTCACACGGAGGGCTCTGTCAGAAACGAGGAATAAAGCTTTGAATCATAGCCTTCAAAGCAAGAGAGTTCCCTTCCCCTCCTTCCAATTGGTTGGGAATTGTGGTCACCTGTTTTTGACCAGGACAAAGACAGTGAAATGGAATCAAACAGTGTCTCTCACACATTGAGCTCTAGCAGGAACCCTCGATTACATACCCAGACCTTATGTTTGGGACAAATGGCTTTCTGTCTCATTCGAGCCATAGTAGCTTACCTAGTGCCGTCTAAAGCGATCGACAATACCTTCTGAGCTTGTCTGTGCCCCTTTACAATCACGTTTCATTAGAAGAGGCCAGGTGTGGCACTTGCTTGTAATCCCAGCTACTCAGGAGGCTGAGGCAGGAGGATCACAAGTTCAAGACCAGTCTATGTTACATAGCAAGATCCCATCTCAAAATAAAAAGCAAACAAGGGACTGAAGATAAAACTCAGCAACAGAGAGCAAGGCCGGAAGCTCAAAGTCTGGGAGCAAAATAAACAAAATGCTGGGACTACATAATGCAAGTGTTGCCGTTTTCCCCCACACGTGCCTCTGCCTCCTGAGTGCTGGGATTAAAGGCGTGCTCCACTATTGCCTGCGTGCCAAATCTGTTTTGTAAAAGGCCAGGTAGTAAATATTCAAGACTTTGTAAGCCATCCTATTTCACAACTCCTCACCTCTGTTGGAACAAATGCGGCTATATTTGCAGAACTGAAATGTAAATTTCATAAATTCCAGCATCACATTGTTCTTCTTTTGTTTTTCTCCAATAATTTAAAAACGTAGAGTGCACACTTCTGTAGTGGGCTGTGGGAAATGAGAAGATTGGGTTGGCCTTCAGGCCCAACCCTTCGTCAAAATACAGAATGCATCTATCTGCTGTTCCATGTTGCTCAATCCAAGAATCTGGAACATGGTTTCCAGCTTGTCTTATGCCTTAGAAAAAATGCATACAGATCAGACCCAGGACGTGAAGAGCAATAGTGGCTGCCCTACGTCTGGTTAGGCAATAGAACATGTTTATGACCGGATGTTCCCAGTCCAAATGGGTGCATTGTGAGGTAAGGGATCGGTGACCTTCCATTATGTGGCAATCAGCCTTCTCAACTATTCTGTGAAACTTAGGTTTTTCTCTACTCCAATAAGGGCGTGTCTAAAAATAGCCACCCTATGAATGGCAAGTGGGCTGAAAAACAGGCTTTTGGGTTTCAAACATTAAGTTCCCCTTTGACAATATTCCTCAGGTCCTGGTTTTGTCTGTTTGCTTGTTTTTCTTTATTTTAAAACTTCACTGTCTGATCCCGCAGTGAGGGTTAACTAAATTAATTCGCGGAGGGGCGGAGGGACCACATCCCTCCAGGGTGCTTGAGTGTTTTCTGATCGGTACACGCACCTTCCTGATTAATGAAAGGCTGGAGCGAACAGAGTTGCACCTACCACTCAGTAGACAAGCCAGCTCTGCCACGGTCCAGGCTAGCGAGACGTCGCCACGGAAACGTGAGCAGAGGCTGAAGAGGAAGGCCAGCTCTGGACCCCTCCCCCCCAAAAAAGAAAGTCCCAGGGGCGGACTCAGGACCAGAACCTGAAAGCACAGCAGGCAGCGAGCGACCTCCGCTCCAGGGCGCCCCGAGCTTAGCTCGCTGAGGCCACGCCCCCAGCCCCGTCTCCGCCCGCGAGCTCGACCCCGCCCCTGCCCCGCCCCGCCGCAGCCCGCGAGCTCGCCGAGGCCCCGCCCCCGCCCCGCCCCGCCCCGCCCCGCCCCCGCGGCCCGCCGCTACGTGAGTCCCACCGGCGGAGCTGGCCCGGGCGCTGTGCCCTCGCTCGGCTCTCTCCGCCTCCCGCGCGGGCCGCGGGCTGCGCTGGGTCGCGGCGGGCCCCGCAGGCGGCCATGGCGGTGGGCGCCGGGGCCAGGCCGGCGCCGCGCTGGGTGAAGGCGCTGGGTGAGCCGCTCAGCGCCGCGCAGCTGCGGCGGCTGGAGGAGCACCGCTACACCGCCGTGGGAGAGTCGCTGTTCGAGCCGCCGCTGCAGCTTTACTGGACCTGGCTGCTCCAATGGATTCCGCTCTGGATGGCCCCCAACACCATCACCCTCATCGGCCTCGCCATCAACCTGGTCACCACTCTAGTGCTCATCTTCTACTGCCCCACGGTCACAGAGGAGGTAGGGCTGGCCGCCCACCGGTGGTGTTCCCTCGGAACCCACGGGCCTCCTTCCCAGCCGGCCCCGCGATAGGCGTCGGGGATGAGGGGAGACCCTTTTGTTGGCGAGCATCCTCCGGGTCTCGGAGGGAGGTGCCGACGCGAACGGACCGCTGTCCCAGGGCGGTGTTCATTTTCAGCCTCCGCGGGGCTCCTAGACACTGTCAGGCCACTACCCCGGTCCCGTGGCCATGCTGCGCTTCCCTCGAGGGGGCTGTCAAGGTCACTGCTCCAGCCCTGTGTCTGCCCACTTCGTCCATAGGCCATAGGCCGACTGGAAGGTTGACTGTAGGGACCGCCAGCCTGCACTTTGCACACTGGGGATTAAACACCCGCATCTCCATTCTGTCAGGACCTGGGTGGGTTGAGTAAGCCCAGGATGCCCTTTGGCACTTCATAATCTTGTTTCTCAAAGGTGGTGCCCGGTGATCCTGAAATTACTGGTAGCATAACTGATCAAAGATAAGTTACTTCTGGATGGTAACTTCCTCTTTGGTTCTTTGACTTTTTCATGAAAAACAAACAGGATATAGGTGACAGCCCTCTAGCTATCCAGACTTACAGATTATAAAAGCCAACACATTTTATTAGTTGTAATTATACCTAACCCATGTCTAAAGTATGAATAATAAGTAATGTGGGCTTTGGACAATGGTGATAAGAAGTGGTTCCTTGGGTTGAGTATAGAGGGAATAATAGCACAGCAGAAAAAAAAAAGCGCCTTGGTACACTATATAGGGTACATATTGCATGCAGATTCTGTGACATTACTTTCTTTAATCTCCCTCCATTCGTACCCAAAAGTGAGAGTTGAAGTTGAGTCCAATAACAGTAACAGGAGTTGAACAGAAATAGTTCATGCTCTGCATCCATGCAAACACTTTTTAAAATGGACTTAGTGGAGTTTAAAACGTCTCCCCCGTTAATGGCTATGGTCATCGTGCGTTCTTCAGACATTGTATTGTTATTTGCTTCCATGTAATTTGGAAACACTAAGCTGTTTGGGGTTTGGGATTTTGCTGTTTCCAGAACCCCTGGAAGCACTGTATCAAGACGAAAGGATGACAGGCCTGCAGTTGCAGGTCTTGGCTCCTCATCAGCCTCCGCCAAGGCAGACCGACCAGATCTGTTTTCCCATGTTGAAAATAGAAATGATGCCTGCTGGGCCAGTTTTACAAGGCAGCAGATAAATGTAGGGCACTGCACTTCACTCAACAAATCAAAACAATCCCTCAACACATTAAAAACACAGTTGAGAAAAACCCAGCACACTGTTGGTAAATACTGTTGTGAAGCGTGTGCTGTAAAGTTTAGCTTTCAATTGGGCTTAGACGTGGCTGATAGTCTTTGGATGTTTCTGGCATCAGTCAGCTAAGCCATGAACTTTGATGTTATTTGCTGAGCACTTAGAAGAATGGACAGACGAGTCCCAGCTACTACCCTGTGGACTTGTTTCTTGCTTCTGAGTCAAATCAGCTGCTTAGTCGTCTCAACTCTTGCAATGATGAGAGCGGTAGCAAGCGTGCCTGCCTGCTTACTGCACACCAGGCACCGTTCTAGATGCTTTTGTCCTGCTCTCTCCTATCAGCACTGTCGCATGAAGAAGATACAGTTGATACCCCCCACTTGATAGATTTGGAAAGCAAAGGGAAATTGTCTCCTAGGATTATAAAGCTGTGCGTGGGAACTAGGATTCCAAACTAGACAGCTGTGCTGCTACTGCTGCAGGGTCTCTGGCTCCATTGGAAAGTCTCCATCTCCTTGTGTTGTTAAATGGATCCTAGTACAGAGCCTGTCAGATTGCAGCTCCTAACAGTGTGTTGTCACAGAGTTTGGTAAATGAATGAAACGACAGTGTCGTCTTGAGGGGCGTTCTTCAACTCTCATCGTTTTAGCTCTTTCTGTTCTTCGCTCTGAGAGGAAGCAGATGTTAAGGGAAATGGGTAGAGCCCCTCCCCTCCCCTTGACGAAGCATTTACCACTCTTGAGTATATAGTCGGTGGGCCCCAGTCCTTGGCTTTCTCTTCCTAAAATAGAATCACCGTTTCTTAGAGCATAGAAAGGGCCCGGAGCCTACTTATTAATGCACTTCCTAAATGTGTATGTCTGATGCTTGGTGATTCAGAGCTCAGTCTAGCTCAGCCTTCTAGGCTCCCTGGAATCAAACATCCTCGCTGGCCGCTGACAGGCCAGAATTCAGGAGAACGAGCATTGGTAGACAGCTCTCCCTGAAGGAGCTGGTTCTTTGACCCTCTTGAAGCCCTATTTTCCTCTTTGGAGAATTTCCATGCTGGAGAAGGCAGCAGTGAGGCTGGGCTCGGCAGTCAAGGCTAGCCAGGGCGTGTTCTCCAGGGCTTTGCAGTGGACTTGCACCTTCTCTGTGAGTAGCTACTCAGTGCTGTAAAAGCCGTCTGGGTTCTGGAGATCTGAAGAGATATCAGTTAGCATACAGATGGGCCTTCCTTTTAGCCTGAGGTTCACAGAGGTGTGAAAGGGCAAAGTCAGCTGGGAGTCCCATCTACAGTAGCTTTCTCTACTACAAAATGCTTCCATGCTTTTGTTTGCTTTTGCTGATACAAGCTGTGGCATAATTCTCTTTTTGCTGCGATGTTTTCTCCCCACCTGTTAGTGTCTCCTTCAAGGGCACACTTACAGCAGACTGGGACCAGACTGAAGGCATCGACTAGTACATTTCTCTCACCTATGATGTGGAAGCGTGACTCAGCCTGAGAGAACCATAAGAAGTGGTTTCTACCTGGTTTTAAATAACCGGGATTATAGCTACCTTTGCTCAGTAGAGAATGATTGGTTGGGGGAATGATAGAAAGGAGAGGCTATACGCTTCATACGGATTTCCACTCAGATTTTTAAAGTAAGTGCAGTTCTTTGAGATCTGATTTCCTTTTAGTCACCTTTTTTAACCAGCTAAATACTTTGTCAAGTGTCATTATTGAAGCAGGAGTCTTATAATGGTGTGGCCTCTCTTACTAAAAGAAAATATTAACTCCCATTTGCCAGTAGGTGAAAGTTCGAGAAGCAGGGAAGAGACTGGGGGAAGGCATGCTATGGCCTCAGAATTTAGGGAGGCACTTTCTGGCCTCGTAAATCCTGCAGCTGAGGTACCTGCTTGCCTCCTCCTCCCCCCAGATGTACCTAGAAGAAGCTTTTCAGGACACACCTTCCCTTGTGCCTGTGGCTTGGGTAACTGCACTCTAGTTAATTTCTAAGAAATAAACTTCTTCGCCTGGAAAAGTCAAATATCCATAAAACATGAAATTATTGTGGGTGGTGTGGCAAATGCCTTTAATCCCAGCACTCAGGAGGCAGCGGCAGGAGGATCTCATAGAGTTGGAGGCCAGCCTGGTTTACAAAGTGAGTTCTAAGACAGCCAGGACTATTACACAGAGAAATCTTGTCTCAAAAAAACAAACCAAACATGGAATTGTGACATATGTGAAGAATTATAAATCCTCTCTTGTTTCGTTAGACTGGGGTATTAGTCTCCGACCCCTTTCATTGTAAGTTAAAGAAAGCAGGTTATTGGGGCATCTAATACATTTGATCCTAATGATGGATTCGGGATGGGAGTTGACTTCATATTCTCCTCTCTTCGGTTATCCTTAGCATCTCAACAAGAGCTCTACTAAGTGCCGAAGGGAAAGTAATCTAGAACTGTCCAAAACTAAGAGAAAAAGAAAGGTCACCTTTCTGAGGACTTCTCAGACCACATGAACACTCTTTGGTCCTGGAGTGCTGGGCTGAGTGCTTTGCCCTGCTTAAAGCTGCCATATTTCCTAGAAATGAGTGTGCTTTCCTCACTACCCGTATGTAAACTGAGCTGAAGCCAGGAGTCCAGGATGAAACCGGTGAGCCCCTATAGCCATCCTACTTGGCTTCACCAAGGATGTTCTCTTTCTCCTGACCATTCATCTGCCCTGGAGGAAACCTGCTTCTGAGAATAATGAAGTGTCCTGCTTGTCACAGGCTCCCAAAAAATGTGTGTGTGCGCGAGTGTGCGTGCATGCGTGTGTGTGTGTGTGTGTGTGTGTGTGTGTGTGTGTACATGCATACGTCTGGAGATGGAAGTCAACCCTCAGTGGTATTCCTTAGGAGCCCCCCATCCTCCTCACCCCCTACCTCTGCCATCTTGTCTCTCACTGGATCTTGGGGCTCACCAATTAGCCTAACAAGCCCCAGGGATTTGCCTGTCTCTGCTTCCCCACATGTTACAACTGGGATTATAAATGTGCCACCACACCCGTCTTTTTCCGTGGGTACAGAGGACTGAACAGGTCTAATTCAACCATCAGTTTACTGATGGAGCTATCTCCACAACACACAGCAAACTGGTTTTTTATTATGTTTTGTTTTGATTTGGTTTTTCAAGACAGGGTTTCTCTATGCAGCCCTAGATGTTCTAGAACTCACTCTAGACCAGGCTAGCCTTGAACTCATAGAGATCTGCATGCCTCTCCCTCCCAGGTGCTGGGAATAAAGGCATGCACCACCACTGCCCATCGCA